AGTTCCCAGAACTTTAAAGTAAATGGAAAAAGTTGGTAGGCTATACATTGCTGGTTCTTTATGGGTTGTTTCCAACTTGAAAAAAAGTATTAAGTCTTTTACAAATTATTTTCGAGTTTGATTTACACTGGACTGATAACTGTATAACAAAAGGACGACTTATGTTGAACTTGACTGACAACACAAAGTAGGCCAAAGGCTCAGAATAAGCAATATGATAATTTCCTAAGAACATGCAACAACAGGTGGAAATAAATGGAAATAAGTCATCTAACACATCCCATAGGAAAGGTTCGAGGCCCAAACCCCTTCGGGAACTTGCATTTGCAAAAAACAAAACAAAAAACCTCTTGATCATCCACAAGGATTTCAGGGAAATATTGTGCATATTAGTAAAACAAAAGGGAATTTTGGGAAAAAATTCCTGAAACAATCACACATGCTGGCTGAATTTGGGTGTTTCTTTGCCATTTGAGGAACCGCACAAACCACCCTCAACTATAAAATCTGCTGTTAACTAAGAAAACCATAAAAGAGAACATCTTATCAAGTAAGACAGACAAAGTTCCCAGTTCATGAGGACCCTGAAGAAGAACCATCTGTCATCAGAGAACCTCACGAGCTTCTACCACTGCACAATCGAGAGCATCCTCAACAACTGTATCACAGTTTGGTATGGGGGCTGCTCTGCCTTGCTGAGGGGGGTGAAAACTGTCCAGCACATCCCTGGGGCACTGCTCCCTGCCATCAAGGACATCTACAGGAAGCAGTGTCTGAAAAGGGCTGGGATATCACCAAAGACTCCACTCACTCTGCCCTCTGGAACAGCTTTTTCTCCACAGCTGTCGCATGCCAGAACACCTCTTAACACCAACAATGAGGACATTTCATTGATTGGTATTTGTGGCAGTTTAATGACAAAGTTGAATTCTATTCTATTCAAAGAAAGAAAGAAAAACAAAAAAAAACAACAACGCTGCAGTGTAGCTAAATATAGAAATACACGAAGACAAGACCATATTTACTTCGGTTATTTGAAATACAGATACCTTTGTTGCAAACACTTGCTGGCAGTTGCTGCAGCTAAGTTTATTAGAGGTATGGGTCAGGTAGGTTTGCATAGCTTTTTTATTTTTGTTTACACCTAAATTAAAAACTCATTTGCAAACATCATTTATATTTACTTTGCTATATTTAGGGGTATTCAAATTAGTTTAATCTGAAAAATTTTAGCCTGAAAAAACAAAGTATGTAGGTGGCCGATTACATGTTCACAGCAATGTACATCTGTATAAATACGTTGACAGAGAGACCTATCAGCAATGATCATAGATAAACTGCTGCTTATCAATGTTCAACCTTTGCTGTACAAACCATTTCCAAACCACTCAGATTAGATATTCTATGCTGAAAATGTTTTCTCACAAGTGAAAGGCCATTTGCATGTATTCCAGACAGCAAGTCCAAGCAGTTCTGTGCAATACTAAAAGGCATGGGAAATGAAAAGGAAAAAAACAACGGCTACATTGTTGTCTCCACAGAGTTATGGTAAATGTGGAAGTTCATAACAGAGAAATTTCCCTTTGGTATTAAAGTATTTTTGAACTGAATTGAGTTGTTGTGAATTGGCTGATGATGTGGGCTTGGTTTACATTTTGTATTACCTGGGAACCTTGCAGGACTGAGTTTAACCATCAACTGGACAATAAGACTTTCAATCTCACAATCTAAAAAAAAAAAGCTACTCAATTCTAGAGGGATGGAAAGAAATAAAAAGACATGTGAAATTTGGGGTATTTTAAAGATTGAAATAAAAAGATGATTGGAAATAAAACAACATAACTAGGGGTTTAAAAAAACAAACAAACTAAGGCTGTGGAAATATTTCCGAATCCAGATTTTTTGAAAAAACAGTACTTGCAGTAAGTAATGTATACACAGTATGCCAGTAAAGGTTTAAAGTACATCCTATGACACAATCTAATGTTTACTGTATATTCACCTGACCTCTAACTGTCTACCTTTTATGTACTAAAGCAATGTAAGATGAGTGGAGCTTAGGTAATCTGAAGCAGCATTGAGAAACATCCTATGTGGAAGTCACTTCTCTTTCTATTGAATCATGTAATGCACTTATGTTTCCCACTAACAGTAAAATACATGTTAAAAATCCATGTAGTATTAAAGTACATTTACCGAATACAGTAGCCGTTGGAGTTCCCCTGTTCTCATGTAATCAGTAAATGATCTGGTTTTAAGTCCTTTATGGGACAAACATTTTCAGCTCAGAACCTGACCCCAGCTCTAAAGATATAATTTTTTTTTTCTATCTGAAGTCTTAGATTTGACTTAGAATAACATACTTTGCAATAGTTTAATGGTGTGCTTATTTGTGTTTGTAATTAGGGTCCAAGAAGTAGCCCAATTAACTCTGGCATCATTTTGTCAATAAGGAACTGTCAGATCTGAACTCTCTAAGGCTGACTGGCCTTGGGTTGTCATTGCTATAAATGTAACTAAAGTCTTGGACAGGGGCATTAACTAGTTTTAATGTAGCTTAGTATATATATATATTTTTTTATTTTAGTATGTAAACATCTGCTAGTTTCACGTCTTTTTCAGCCTCTAACAGGTTCTCTGTTGCTCTTTGCATCATTTCACGACCTCCATAACGTGTGACCACCACCATATGTGAGCAGAAGACCTGTATTTTTTACATGGCTGCTGTGTTACCTACATGCATGGATGAAATTTTGATTTCAGAAGCGGGGTGGACGCAAGTATTTTTTAATATAACTGACTTCAGGGCGTTTAAACATCCAATCACAGATCAGTGGCGCATCAGATGTTTATAGGGCCGTGACAGCCAATCACACAAGAAAAGACGGTGGACCAACCAGGTGATTGTGGGCGGTCTAAATTCAGGGGAGCAGGCTTCAGCTTGAGCTGCGGTTTTCCGCTTGGTCCTAGTGCTCGATTAATGTCTGGGTATTGTAGCGTAGCATTTTGGACAGTGAAAAGTGCAGGGGACCAAAACGGAGGTTTCAAAAAGTGCAGGGGGCGTGTCCCCCCTGTCCACTTCCAAAATTACGTCCATGCCTACATGACTTGTGACAAATTGCAGAAGGAATTGCTTTTTTAAGCAATGGCCTTCATTCTACCTTTTTTTTTTTTTATGTAAGGTGGACCAACAACAGCTGAGTTAACATGGACCTCTAATTGGCTTATTTTGCTGTCTTTTCTCATCCTCTCTGTTCATTTAGATAAAAAATGTTTTAGAATAGTTTGTTTTTTCAAAACATTCTAAAAGTTGGTATATTATTTTGTAATCGCTGCCACATTGGTGCCTTTTTCTGCCAAACTTGGCTGCTTTTGAACTTGAGCTATAAAAAAAATAGCTTTGGACTAATTGCTAAAGTTCGAGCTGCTTTATAAAGATAGTTTGATGTTGAAATGTTTTTATGAAGGAAATTTTTTTTCAAAATAATTTCCATTGTGTGACAGAAACAAAGCTTTTCAACAAAATGTCCTTGCACTTTGGGCATTAACTGGTTTATTTTAAAATGTAGAGAATTGATAAAATGTGACATGATCTTGCAGTGATGATCAACAGTCAATCAACTTCCACTGTGAAATGATTTTGGTCAGTATCAATGGGGCAAAAGGTTTAGCTAAGCTGCACTGAGATGTGATGGCCTGAAGGCATTTAATTCTAATATTTGACCTTATGCTAAGAGACAGCATCGGGTTAAAAGTAGAAAGATACCAAAATAAATCAGTAGAGTGCTCTGGGCTATAACAGCGAGTTGTTCCTGTCCTACAGGGAGATCCAGAGCTCATTGTTTTTAAGAAGGGGGTTTGGATTTGGGCTGGTTTTTACTGTGGTGGGTGGGTTTTACATTGTGTTTTTAACAGGAAACAATCAAGCGGATGTGGCAAACCTGCTCCTGTTGATCTTGGTCTTCTTTATGTTGTTTGTTCATCAGTGTCTCAATCCATTTTTCTAGAACAGATGGACTGGACCTGAAGTGAAAAAATGTAGAATCAATTTACTCACCAGACTTCTGGTTGCTTTGACTTTTATTTAGGTGTATCAGAGTGAAAGGGGTCAATGACAAAAGTACAACACACAAACTTAATGATCAGTTTATTATTTTTTCTTTGTGATGAATTTAAATTTGCTTGTTTTGGTCTTCCGCTTACGATCTTTGGGTTTTTTTTTAAGTTGTAAAATCTAGTAAAGTTAAAAGGAAATACTTTTCAAGTTTCAAGTCAGTGTAAAGTTCACCAAAAAACAGCTGCACCAAAATGATTTCCTTTTATCACAAGTGCTTGGTTCTCTTATTACATAAAAGTATATACTGACAAAAAAACCCATAGTTCCTATTCTTGTGTTTAGTTTGGTTTGGTTCTAGTTTTAAATATTCCATTGTTTGAGCAAACAACAGCTACACTAAAAACTCTGAGGTTGTTTGGCTTTATCTTTTCTTCGCTCTGCAACTGCGTACTTCCTTTTTTATAAAACAGGGGATGTCCAGCTTCCTGTGCTTTGTGCACTAAACCCATGACAACTGATTCACCAAAGGGCTGCCGCCACTGTGTTTGTGATACTTTGCAGGGTCGGATTCGTTCAACTCCTCTGCAGGCAGTTTGTTGAGGTTTGGGTGTAACTCTGGCTCATTCCCACATGTGCTTGTGGAGTTCGCTCCGGCTCGACGCACAACAGCTGGGAATCTGGCCGTGGCAACACAGCGTGCCCATTCAGGCAGCACTGGGAAGGGGTTTTCCACCGTGCACAAACACAAGCACACGTGACACGCTAAAAAAGATGCGCTCACAGATTTAGATTAAGTTGTGCCATCGTTTTGTGGTCAGGCCATGATCTGAAGTTAAAGCTTGAGGCTTAAGTTCTGTCAAGAATGAAGCAAAACAGCAGAATGACGAAGATTTCAACGGTATAAATACGCTTACAAAAAGAGTGCCTTCAGCAGGGTTTTATTACAAAAAATAATAGACGAAAACAACATCCATGTTGTCAGTTTGGTTGCAATCTTTACATATAAACCCTTTAAAAAGGTTTGATCAAATACGTTTGGCTTGCTGTAATATATTTTATACTTATTTGTTCCCAAAAGTTAACAAAATATCTATGTTACATTTAAAACATAAAAACAGGTCTTTAGAAAAAAATGTATGTGTCTTCCAGTTAGACATACAAGGAGAATAAATATCAATATAGCAATACACTTCTATTTTACATCTGCCATTTAAAATATATATATATTAAAAACAAAATCCAATGAAAACATAATATTAGCACCATGTGTCTAAATCCAAAGGAAGAAGCTTATCAATCATCTCTCAATCGTACAATCCTACAATAGGTTTGGTTAAATGTGAAGAAAGTGCAGCAAGTTTGTAATTTAACCATGAGGTATTTGAAATTATATATAATATTCATATACATACAAATACATACTTATATATATATATATATATATATATATATACATCTGAGTATATGATATTGCATTTTGGCCTCCCCTCCTACCAAAGGAGAACTCATAAGGGGGTTCATGCAGACTCAGAAAGCTTGCAACAGGGAAACTTTGGGGTTTTGCGTCATTGTTTGAGAAGCATCTTCAGTCAGTTGTTTCGTTTGTAGTCAGGAGCTTGAACGTCCAACCCGCTGATTTTTCTGCCTTGTAGTGCTGGTAAACAGTGTTAGGTAACAATAGCGTGCCTCTTATAGCCGGGCGCACTCGTCAAAATGCTTTATGCACTCTGCGGCCTCAGTGTCATTGAACCTGGCGTGGCACTGCGGACACTGTAGCTCTGACGGTCCTGGGCAATCGCTCCAGTTTGTTGCTGCTGCGGCTGCAGATGTTGCAGCTGGCTGTGGCGGAGCGGGTGGCTGCTGCCTTTCAGGGGCCGCCCTCAGCAGGGGCTCCGAGGAGTCCTTGTTTCTCCTTGGGGAGATCCTGTGTCCTATGTGGACACGGCACAGGGGGACCACGTCTCTGCTCTCTCTGCTGGCTCCCTGTAGAACAGCAAAAACACTGTCAGACCAATAGAGTAGTAGAGGCTGCTATAGATCTACCCACAGCTAGTCTAAGGCTACTTGGGGCCTTATCTGAACACGGATGATGGGAGCTGATTTACATGATGTCCCTATGTAGAGGAGCATGCAGGAGCGAAGCGAACATCATGATTAAGAGAAGAGGAAAGAATTCTGCAGGAGTTAAGAAAATCTAAACTTTTCTGTTAATGTGCGTTCCATCAACCAATTAGGGACTGGATGTTGTTGTGACGTAAACAAAGGAACGCAAAGGAGATGAAGTGTTTTTCAGTCCAAATAGAAGATAGAAAAAATATTTAGAGGTTTGTAGGTAGCTTTTCAAAAAGCCGTTTTAGTTTATCCCCTAGAAGGAATCCTTCATTGTTTGTCCTCCTCCTATAGCTCCGGAGCGGGGAACCGACGGCTACCAGTTGCGCTCTCTGCTTGGCCTCTTGCCATGCTGTTCCTGTCTGAGTTTCCAAGCTCCTCCTCACCTTGCCTCTGTGGTTTGGGTGATTGGTCCCCAAACCGAGATAACAGATTGAATTCAGTTCATTTACAGTAATTTATATAAAGCCAATTCACAACACATGTCATCTCAACGCACTTTACACAGTCAGCTCAATCAGATCGTCCAGTCAGCTGATTGCATCGAGTCAGTAACTTTCCAGGATTCACTCCTCCTGGATGAGCTTGTGGTCACAGCAGACGTTCGCTTGCACTCTGTAGTTGACTCTACAGCAATCCCTCACAAAGAACATGCATACAGCATGTTTGGTGTGAATTCACTATTAAAGGGGATTTGATTTGGGCCCCTACTGCTACAAAATGACCACAGCTCAGCCAATACCATTTTCTTTTTAATTCATCCATCAAATATTGATAGCCCTGGTAGATTCAGACTTAAATGAAACTTTTATGTTTACTAACATGTTTCTTTAGGCTGAAAGTAATAGAAGCCAGGGTCTAGATTTAAATCTGAGGGGAAATCTGTGGACCGAGCTAAAAATTTGGGTGATGGCAACGATAATATAAATCATAGATATTATTTTGTTTAAAAACTTAAATTAAAAAGTAATTGAAAAGGTGTCTGATTGTCATAAAGGACAAAAAAGATTTTTCCATTTATCATGTAGACTGTTATATATCACACCAATCATGCTATTTATAAAGATAAAAATTAAAAAAAACTATATTTTTCTTCCTGAATACTATTATCATTTAGACTTTGCTGCCACATTTCCAGACAGAAACAAACCCTTTTACTGGATGAAATTATATAACTAGAAATCTAAATTTAGCAGGAGTATAAATGATCAGCTCCACTGCATCTTTACATCTAACTGCTCCCAAGGTAAACTGTCCTTCCAACCATGCAGAAGAGTACTGTACTGTAAAACAGTTGTCTACTTCTATAAGATTCATCAACTAACTCATAAGAACTCTAGTAAGGGTTGCTAACATACCTGTTTATGCAGCTGCTGCTTTAACTGAGAAATCTGCTCCTTCAGGTCAGCGATCTGACCTTGAGCTCGTTCTCTATCAGCACGCTCCGACTTAAAGTCTTCTGTGTAGATTAGGACCTAGGAAAGGAAAGCTTGACCATTACTCAACTATTTTCAGGTATCTAATTGAAGAAAAGCTGCATACATTGAACAGTCTAGTATGATGTCATTTGCAGAAACCCACCTGCTGCTCCAGTGTCTGGATACGCTCATGTCCTTGCCTCCTCGTGTCCTCCACTTCTCTGTCCAGCCTTGCACACTCCCTGATTTTCTCCTCCAGTAAGGAGTTGAGCCTGGAAATCTCCTGATGGAGGATCCCTGTTCTGATGGAGCCCATCCCCGGCAGCAGGCCCTGGCCGGAGCTCTCCTTCAGCCTCTGACACAAAGCCCTGATGTACTCCTCCCTGCTGGAGTCGTATTTCTGCCACTGGGAGTTTAGATCCTGCACCTGTAGACAGAAAGGCATCAATGTTTAACACTGTGATCTGAGGCAGGGTTCTGTGTGTAATGATTTGGGCTAATCCTGGTTTTCCTGTCAGAATCCGGACTTACATAAACCACGCGCTGCTTCAGTTGTTGATTTTCTTCCTGAAGCTGTCGAATTTGGGATTTAGCTGCACTCAAGTCAAGGAGGTCAGCTGTCTGTGAAAGGGGTTAGGGAAAAAAAATGTAAATGGTGCAAAAGGAGAGAAGCCTTTATTGAAACAACTACAGATGGAGGTCTGGAACACATACATCTTTGGTACTCTGCTGCTGGGACAGCTCCTCCACTTCTCCACCCATCCCCTTCTTCTCCTTGTCCAGCCTGGTCAGCAGCTCCTGGCACACCTTGACGGTGGCTCCGAGCTGACCCCGCAGCTGGTCGGCCTCCTCGGCCAGCGACGAGCAGAGGACAGTCCTGGTGGCCTCTGCACGCTCCCTCTCCTCCAGGGCTGCCCGCAGTCTCTGGATCTCCCGGTCCTTCTCATGGTCTGGCTGACACCGGATCTGCTCCAGCTCCAGCTCCTTCTCCCTAACTTGTGAATTAAGCCTCTGGATCTCCTATAGAGAAGAACATAAGTAAAAAAAAAAAAGGTCATCGTTTCATTTATTTATCCATTTTAGAGATGCTCAACATATGATAGTTTATTCTTCTTTAGTCTCTCTTTGGTCCCAATAATAACCTAATGCTATTTACAGAGTGACTAATTAATATCACAACAACTTGTGACAAATCATTATTACTGATGTGTTTAAGGATATACCCATCTTCTCTGTACTACTATTCCATTGCATTAAGAAAAAAAACTATGTTATGAACAAAGTTGTTCATCCCCCCAGAAATAAGAACAATAAAAACAATTACTATGTGCATATTAAAAACTTAAGCCAAAATGTCTGATATTAAGGTCTATAGTTGTATTGTTTAACTAAAAAAAACTTAGTTGTACTGGTGAGGCATAAAGTCAGTCTTGGACACCTAAAATTATTTTACATTAGTTTAAGGTGTCATCTAGAAATATATGTGTTTAGAACACACTGATAGCAAAAGTTACAGAATACAAGAGAAACTAATTGTATTTAAAAGATTATCAAACAGATGTTTGTAACAGAGCACTTCAAACTGATTTCTGATTAAATCTGCATCTGACTCAACATACTTTTTTTTTTTACTTCTGACATTTTTTCCTAAATAACAGCATACATTTACTTACAGCTAATCGGTCAAGTGGTATTTTTTAATTATTTTTGAAAAATGTTCCAAAAGTGTAGTGTTTTCAGTGCTCAAATAGCAACAAGTTCATTTTCATCTATGTATAGATCAGGGTATGGATTTAAATGAATTTATCAGGCATTTTAGCTGATAAGCATTGCAATGATGACAAAAGGTGTCAAAAAGACAAAGCATGCTTCCCTATATATATATATATATATATAT